ATATGTTAAGGTCTATTGAGTCAAGTTAGTGTACCCAGATATCCCTCACTGCAAGTTCATCCCCTGGAGTCTAGTCAGCCTATAAGGGGAAACAGAATGTTGCCTTCCCACTGTTTTTATGAGGATAATATTACCATAAGATTAAAACTGGCTAAAGCCACTTCAAGAAAAGAAAGTGACTAAGCAGTCACTATACATCATGAACACAGATGCAAAAATCATTAAACTGTTAACTAGTTGAATCCAACAGATGTGAAAATAGCATAATCCTTCATGACTAAGTAGAGTTGATTTCAGAATGCAAGGTTGCTTTAGCATTAAAGTCAGTTGCTAGAGCCAGGTGTGGTGACACACACCTTTAATCCCAGAAGAGGCAGGCAGAGCAGGTAGATCTCTGTGAGATCAAGGCCAGCCTGGTCTCCACAGCGAGTTCCAGGCCAGTCAAGGCTACAAACCCTGTCTCAAAAATGAAAGAAAAATTTAAAAAAAGAAAAATATCATAAAGTCAGTTGCTAGGCTAGGGAGATGGCTTGGTGGATAAGACAGCAGCTGTACAAGCCCAAGGACCTGAGTTCAGAGCCCCAGAACCCATATAAAAGCTGGGTACAGAAGCATGAGCAGCTGAATTCCAGTGGGCCCTTACCAAGAAATGGAAGGCAGAGACTGAAGAATCCCTAGAAATTCACAAGCCAGTTAGCCTGGTGTACACAGCTGTGAGGACTGACACCTGAGGTTGTCCTCTGACCACATGTACCCACACCTGCATTCATACAAACACCAACACACACACGCACACACACACACACACACACCCCATATACACGAGTAAAAAAATTTACAAATAGGGTAGGGAATGGTGGTACATACCTTTAATCCCAGCACTCAGGAGGCAGAGGTAGGCAAAGCTCTCTGAGATCAAAGCCAGCCTGGTGAGTTCCAGGCCTACTGGGGCTCTAGAGAAACCCTGTCTCAAAAAGACAAAAATTTTTAAATAAAAAGTCAGTTATTGTAGTCATCCATATTAACAAGATAAAGGAAACTTTGTATGATCATTTTAATACACACATAAACAGTACTTCACAAAACTCAGCATTGACACAATTTAAAATTCTCAGCAAATAGCTGGGCATGTTGGCACACATTGGTAATCCCAGAAATAGAAACAAGATCAAGAAGTGTTCAACTCCAGCCTGTGATACACAGGGGACACCATGTCTCAAAATACAAAACAACTCTAGGCAAACTAGGAATAGAAACTGCTTCAAACATGGTGGCACATGACTGTGATCCCAGCACGTGGAAGGTGAAACTGCTTCAAACATGGTAGCACATGACTGTGATCCCAGCATGTGTGATCCCAGCACGTGGGGGTTCCAGATAGCTAGGAAGGGAGGGAGACAGGAGGATCA